AAGCGCCAAGCGTCTCCTTCCCAAAAGCCAGTCTCCCCGCCAGGCCGTCTGCCCGTCCTTCTTACCTCTCAGCTCTGAGACAGGAGCTTGGCCCAGCGCTCTGTGTTTCAGATGACATTTTGATCATGTCCACCTGATTTGGTTGCAAAAAAGAACCCCGCTTACAAAGGACAGATGCTTTTGGTCACAGTCTCCAAAGTCCCATAGCTAAACTAACTGTTGTCTTTGGTTGTCTTTGCAATTGCCCAGGTCTTGTGTTTTCCATGCCATGGTGTCACTAGAGAGAGACGCTTTTGTTTTGCAGAGCAGATCCAGCCTCTGCAGGGCGGAGGAGAGGTGTGGGCCACAGCCAGGTTCTCAAGAGAGTGTGACATACTCACATCTCATGTACAATTCCAAGAAATGGAAACCTAGGACTTGACAGCACCCAGCAATCAGGAAATCAGCTCTGTGCATTTTCCCGCCCTTTTACGTAAAAGTATAATAGCCCTGCAGGAAAACTGCATGACCGTGTCCCATCTTCCTATGCTGGTTATTGACATTGGCACTAGCAGCGATCTGTGATGTCCCCTCAGGACCTCAGAGCTCAGTGCATCTCTCTACAGTCACAGGACACAGCATGTTATGACCTGAGATGGGTTTGCTGGTAATGACTTGACTAACGTGTATAAATAGCTTGTTGATTGACTCTTGACTGTAAAACAGCTCTCTCGGGAGCAGAAAGAGTCAAAACAATGAAATTGCCCAAAACTGCTAATTGCTGTACTAGGAAGACCTGTAAGATGGTCTTCTGGTTATCCGGCCATTCCTCAGAGCTTATCCCCACTCGAATGAAATAAGAAGAGTCTGGTCATCTTGTTGCTAGCTGTTTCAATAAAATAATAAAGAGAGAATGATCATAGATGTCATGGTTATGAAGTTATAACAAAATATGTACATATCTGCTAAATACTCTTAGATAGCCCTTGGCCAAGCACTGCCAGAAAAACGTTGAAGAACATTAATGGTTTTCTCTCTTTATTTCTCTCTCACATAGGACAGTATATGTAGATGATATACTGTATCATGGACTGGTATCTTTTCTTTTTCTTTTTTTTTTTTTGAGTTGGAGTCTCACTCTGTTGCTCAGGCTGAAGTGCAGTGGCGTGCTCACGGCCACCGCAGACTCGACCTGCTGGACTCAGGGGATCCTTCCACCTCAGCCTTCCAAGTAGCTGGAACCACAGATGTGCTCCACCATGCCCAGCTGATTTTTTTATTTATTGTAGAGATAAGTCTTGCCAAGTTGTCCACGCTGGTCTTGAACCCCTGGGTTCAGGCAATCCTCTCATCTCTGGCTCCCAAAATGCTGGGATTACAAGCGTGAGCCACCGTGCCCAGCTTAATTTTCTTAGTAAAGCCTAATATAAATAGATGTGTTCACACAGGAATTTGCAAATTACTTGTTGTAAAGTTCTTTTTAATAAATTAACCCAGCTGGACAACATAGTGAGACCTTGTCTCTAAGAAAATAAAAATAATTAGCTGAGTGTGATGGTGCACACCTATAGCCCCAGCTACTCAGGAGGCTGAGGCAGGAGGCCTGCTTGAGCCCAGGAATTTGAGGCGGTGGTGAGCTGTAATTGTGCCACTGCACTCCAAACTGGTCGACAGAATGAGACCAAAAATAAATAGATAAATTAGCACGCTTTCATTCCTCCATGGACATTTTATTTCTGTCTCCCAGAAAGAGTTGGGGGACCAATTTTGATATCTGTCATCTGAGATTAACCAAGATTTGCACTTGAAGTTTAGAGCCAACTCTAAAGTCCTTCCCTTTAAGTTTAAAGTTGCATTTCCTCCCCTACGAAGCAAACTCATCGATACTTAATAAAGTGATTTACATTGTTTCTAATAAAATATAATTTGAGGGGGAACACCAGAGGGCTGGTATAGGATCTAGGGGTGGCACTCGGTTGCTGAAGGGCGCAAGCTGTTTTTTTGTTTTGTTTTGTTTTTTTGAGTTGGAGTTTCACTCCGTCACCCAGGCTGGAGTGCAGTGGCACACTCACGGCCACCGCAGCCTCGACTTGCTGGGCTCAGGCGATCCTTCTGTCTCAGCTTTCCAAGTAGCTGGAAGTACAGGCGCATGCCACCAAGTTGTTGTTTTAAGGGCAATTGCACCTGCCTCACCCAGAAGCAGCAGATTGCAGGGCTGAGGTCCCCAGCGTGAGACAGTACTCTCACCTCACATGTCACCCATCCAAAGGTGAGCGTTTCTCTTTGTCTTTCTTTAAAATGCCAAGCTGAAATTTACCCAGGCCCTTCAACTGAGGTGAGGTCTTCACTTTTCCGGTGTTGGTTGGTGTTCATGCGTTTGCCGTCCTTGTCTCAGAGAAGGTTGAGTTCATCAAGTGGGAAAGCAGCCCAGCCTTCCATGCCAGGAGCCCCCATGCAGTTATTCCGTAGGAGCACAGCTGTGGGGACAGGGCAGTGCACTTGGGAAAAAGGAACTCTTTTCGATGGGAAGGCTTGCTACCAAAGGGAAATCGAAGCCGATTTCCTGAGGGATTTTTTGACAAATGGGCAGGTTTTAATTTATGCTGTGCGCCTGGTCTAGAATATTTGGAAACTGACATGGGCTCAGCTTCTAACATGGGAGGTGCCGCTCAGGGCACGAAGGTATTTCTGTATGCACGTAGCCCTTGCTTGGTTCTCTTTGGTTCTGCTTCTTGCTAATTGGACGTTGACTCGATTGGCTGGTGGCATCAGGAAGTGGAGAGCTGGTGGGAGAGGGTAGGAGGGGTCAGAGGGCCTGGCCCTGAGGGGCTTTTTGCCACCAACTGAGTCACAAAGAGCATGCCTTCCAGCTGTCAAGAGGACCGTTTGCCTCCTTATCTGTGGTCAGAATTAGATCAGAGCTGAATTCCAGCTACAGACCCGGTGTTCAACATCTTTGTTGTTGGTTTGTTTTTAACTTTTTACTTCAAGATCATTGTAGATTCACATGCAGGTGTAAGAAACACCCCAGCAGAGAGATCCCGGCTACCCATCTCCTGGTTTCCATCAATGGTGATATCTTTCGAGACTGTCATCCCACATTACAACCAGGAAATTGACAGCCACACAATCCATTCGCCAAATCAGCGTGTCAGCAGCTTGACACGCACTACTGTGTGTGTGTCTGCTTAGCCATGTACAGTTTTCGCACATGGATAGCTCTGTGTGACCACAGCCATCATCACGATGACAAAAGCTCCGTTTCAGGGGTCCCGCGTCTACCCTTCACAGCCACACCCCCTCCCTCCCCAGCCTTGGTTAACTATTAATCTATTCTCTGTAATTATGTCATTTGAAGAATGCTGTATCGATGGAATGACATGGTATGTAAGCTTCTATGATTGGCTTTTTTTCACTCACAATCATTCCCTTGAATGTCTTCTGATCTCTAGCAAATAAAATTTGGGGATTTTTTTTTTAATTTGGGAAGAGGGCAGTTTAGGGTATGGCTTGTTTTGTAGCAGAGATCCACAATTTGTTATTGATACGAGAGAAAAAATTGTCATGACAGTTGGTAGTAGTTTGAAGGCTTGATAGTGCTGGGTGTGGTGGCACATGCCTGTCATCCCAGCACTTTGGGAGGCCAAGGCAAGAGGATTGCCAGAGCCCACGGGTTTGAGACCAGCCTGAGTAACTTGGTGAGACTTCGTCTCTACAATAAATGAAAAAAATAGGCCGGGCTCGGTGGCTCAGCCTGTAATCCCATGCTTTGGGAGGCTGAGCTGAGTGAATTGCCTGAGCCCGCGGGTTCAAGAACCACCTGGGCAACTTGGCGAGACCTCATCTCTACAATAAATCAAAAATTAGCCGGGTGTGGTGGTGCGCACCTATAGTTCCAGCTACTTGGAAGGCTGAGGTAGAAGGATCTCCTGAGCCCAGCAGGTTGAGGCTACAGTGGCAGTGAGCGTGCCACTGCACTCCAGCCTGGGTGGCAGAGTGAGACTCCGACTCAAAAAAAAAAAGCACATGAAGAAATTAAAAGTATTCAAATAGCATGCATGATGGTGGTTTGACTTAATTTTTAAAATAATCTAGCAAAGCACAAACTTCCTATTGTCTAGGGAAAGTGATTGTTTCTATGGTACAAGGAAACTCTGTCCATATCATCTATCCATGTCAAAATAATATTGGAACAATGGTGTAGGACGTTCCAACCCAAGGAGGAGGGATGTTGCATATCATGTTGCAAAGTTTAAAATATTTGTAACAGGTTGTCATTATATCTCTAATAAGAGGCCGTGGAAATTAAGAGCTGGTGTTCAATGTTTCTTTGCCTGGAAAACGGATGAAAGCAAGAGAATGTTCTCCTATGTCTTTTTATTTATTTATTTATTTATTTATTATTTTATTTTTTTATTTTTTTTGAGTTGGAGTCTCACTCTGTCACCCAGACTGGAGTGCAGTGGCCGCTCCCAGCCACCGCAGCCTCGACCTGCTGGGCTCCGGCGATCCTTCCACCTCAACCTTCCGAGTAGCCAGAATTACAGGCATGTGCTACCACGCCCGGCTGATTTTTTGATTTATTGTAGAGATGAGGTCTCGCTGCCCAGGCGGGTCTCGAACCCGCGGGCTCAGGCAATCCACTCACTTCAGCCTCCCAAAGGCATAGGATTACAGGCTGAGCCACCGAGCCCGGCTCCTATGTCTTTTTAAACAGCCTCCATTTTCTCCTGCCTTGATGTGTTGATGGCACTGTTCAGTCTGGATATTAAAACGGCCTAGGCCAGGCGCAGTGGCTCACACCTGTCATCCCAGTCCTCTGGGAGACCAAGGCAGAAGGATCGCTTGAGCCCAGAAGTTCTAGACCAGCCCTGGGCAACATAGCGAGACCTCGTCTCTACAAAAAATAATCATCATAATAATTAAAAAAAATAAAATGACCATGATAACCGAAAGTCATCTGTAGGCCACGCCTTCCTGACAACCCCGTCTCTCGCTGCGTCCTGGTGTGTTCTTTGCAGAGTGTGAGCCCGTGGAAGCCATAGCCAAGTTTGACTACGTGGGGCGGTCCGCCCGAGAACTGTCCTTCAAGAAGGGTGCCTCCCTGCTTCTGTACCACCGGGCCTCCGAGGACTGGTGGGAAGGCCGGCACAATGGGGTAGACGGGCTGGTGCCCCACCAGTACATCGTGGTACAGGACATGTGAGTAGCCTCTGTGGGGCGTGGTGGGGGGAGGGTGCCTGGGTGCTCCCAGGGAGGACTCCCGCCATTGTTCTTTGGCTGACTTGGGTCTTGGGAGAAAGGAGGGGGAAGAATGACAGAGATCGGCCTTCTGGGTGGGTCTGCTTCTTCGCCCCACGAGGAGCCTTGGAGCAAAGACTGGTGGGAGGCAGCTTCTAAAGCGTCCAGGTTCTTGGAAAAGTGATGTGCAGAGCATGGTGACGGTGACATCATGCTGTTGTCAGTGCACTGTTGAGTTCCAGAGCCCCGAGAGGCAGAACGCCAAAGTCAGAGGGAATCGCCCCAGTCTTTAAGAAAAAAGCTGCTTTCTCTCTTTCACTCTCTCTCTCCCCGCATCTCGTGTCTCTCTCTCTCTCTCTCTCTCTCTCTCTCTCTCTCTCTCTCGGTCTCTGTCTCTCTCTCGGTCTCTGTCTCTCTGTCTACCTCTCTTTTTCTTTCTCTCTCCCATTTCTCCCCCGCTCCCTCCCCCTCCTTCCCTCCTCCCTCTCCCAAAGCATAGCAAAAAAAAAAAAAGGCTATTTGCTCGGGAGAATGCTCTAATTTCAAAAATATTTAAAGACATGCGCAGATGGTCACAATATATTTTTTTTGAAAGAAATCATTTACAAAACAGTGTGCACAGTATCATCCCTGTTTTCCGAGATCAACACTTCAAATGCACTACCAACTCGGAATAGCCCTTCAAGGAAAAGAGAAATGTGCCACACCAAGTGTCTTGAGTAATGGATGAGTTGGCCAGATTTTAGAAATCTTACAACGTGCATCTCCAAATCCAAGAAACGTTATGTGTATATAGACATGCAGTCATATAACTTCTAAAGCATATACATAAATATGCTAACATAGAAAAAGTTTTATATAAATATCTATACAGTCTTATGCCACATAATAACATTTCTATCAACAGTGGTCCAGATATACACCAGTGGTCCCAAAAGATTATAATACCTTATTTATTAGTACTGAACTGCACACTTAAAAATGGTAAAGATAATAAATTAAATATGTATATTTTACCTCAATTTAAAAAAAATTTTTTTTTGAGTTGGAGTCTCCCTCTGTCGCCCAGGCTGCAGTGCAGTGGCATGATCACAGCTCACCGCAGCCTCGACCTCCTGGGCTCAGGTGATCCTTCTGCTTCAGCCTCCCAAGCAGCTGGGACGACAGGCACCAGCTAGTTTTTCTGATTTTTTTGTAGAGATGAGGTCACACTGCGTTGCCCAGGTTGGTCTCAAACTCCCGGGTTCAAGTGATCCTCCCACCTCAGCCTCCCACTGTGCTGGGATTGTAGTCTGAGCCACCATTCCCAGTCTACAACAATGAAAAAATGTTTTGAGAATTATAATACCCTATTTTTCCTGTGCGTTTTCTATGTTTTGATGTGTGTCTCTCCATCCATACCATTGTGTTACAACTGCCTACAGTGTCCAGTACAGTCACATGCGAGGTGTGTAGAGGGCTGTGCCATCTAGGTTTGCGTAGAGACACTCTGTGATGTGTGTGCAGTGATGAACTCACCCAAGGACTCACCTCTCAGAACATGTCCCTGTCATTAAGTGACACGCGACTGCAGTGTAAACACTACACACATCTTTGTACACACTCACACACGTATCCCAGGCATGGAAAAAGGGATACATCTGTGTATACACTCACACACATGTATCCCAGACATGGAAAAAGGATGTCCAAGGATATTTCCTAAACTTCTGGCAGTAGTTGTCTGGGTGTTTCGTCATGGCTGAGGGTTATTTCACCCTCGTTTGCATGCTTGAGATTTCCAACTTACCTGCAGTGAAATTATACTGGTTTTATAATGAAAAGAAAACTGTTGTGGTCATTAAAGAAAGACTTAGTACATCGATGCTGTCACTTATTATTTTTTTGCCTCCACCCATCTAGCCCAAGACCCTCACCCTTGATTCTTGCCGTTTCAGGGATGACACGTTTTCGGACACCCTGAGCCAGAAAGCTGACAGTGAGGCCAGCAGTGGGCCGGTCACTGAGGACAAGTCCTCCTCCAAGGACATGAACTCCCCAACAGACCGACACCCTGACGGCTACTCAGCCAGGTAAGGAGCCTGGTGACCAGGCCTGAAGTCCCCCTCCCCCGGAGGGCCTTGAGAAGGCTCTGCGCCCCCCGCCCTGAGTACCACCCAGTGTGATCGGCCCTCCTGCCTTCTCTGTTTCTGTGGACATCTAGACAAAGAAAACGAGGTGAGCCGCCGCCCCCGGGAAGGCGTCCCGGCAGGACCAGCGATGGCCATTGCCCCCTACACCCGCCGCACGCCCTTTCTAACTCCTCGGTCGACCTGGGGTCTCCCAGCCTGGCCAGTCACCCCCGGGGCCTGCTGCAGGGCCGCGGCCTCAACCACGACAGTCCCGAGAGGAGGCGCCGGCCGGGCCACGGCAGCCTGACCAACATCAGCCGACATGACTCCCTCAAGAAGATCGACAGCCCGCCCATCCGGAGGTCCACGTCGTCGGGGCAGTACACGGGCTTCAACGACCACAAGCCGCTGGACCCGGAGACGATTGCTCAGGTACGGTGCTTTCAGCTGGGCACTGCCTCGTAAGTGCTGGGCGTGATGGGGGCGGCGTGAAGGGTGTGCTGCCTATAGCTGGGTTTTTGTATAGAACTGGCTGAAGAGGCTGGGTGTGGTGGCTCATGCCTGTCATCCCAGCACTTCGGGAGGCCAAAGCAGGAGGATTGAGCCCAGGAGTTCAAGACCAGCCCAGGCAACATAGCAAGATCCTGTCTGCAAAAAATAAAAATAAAAAATATTAGCCAGGTGTGGTGGCGCATGCCTGTAGCCTCAGAAGGCTGAGGCTGCAGGATCACCTGAGCCCAGGAGGTCGAGGCTGTGGTGAGTCATGATCACACCACTGCACTCCAGCCTGGGCAACAGAGTGAGACCCTGGAAAAAAATATATATTTAGAAAACAGAAAGGAAATGTGCCCATTCTGTAACTGAGACCTGTCTGTGAGTCTCTTCGAAGAACCATTTGTTACTGAAGTGTCCAAACATGTTGGGCTCATATTGACTTAAACAGACACGACAGAAATGCAGGACTTGGGCATTTGAACCCATCGCTGGTGAACAGCCAGGAAAGTTAGGAAGAAAAAGAATGAGGAAGGACTAGCTCTGCCAGACCCTAAATGCATTCTTTTTTTTTTTTTTTTTGAGACGTGGTCTTGCTCTGTCACCCATGCTAGAGTACAGTGGCACAAACATAGGTCACTATAGTCTCAAATTCCTGAGCTTAAACCATCCTCCCAGCTTGGCCTCCCAAGTAGCTGGGACTACAGGCACACACCACCATGTCCTGCTCGTTTTTATTTATTCACTTTACTTTTTTTATATAGACAGGGTCTCACTATGTTGCCCAGGCTACTCTTGAACACCTGGCCTCAAGTGGTCCTTGTATCTCAGCCTCCCTAAATGCCAGGATTTCAGGTGTGAGCCACCACACCCGGCCCCTAAATGAGTTCTAAAGCTAGCAGAACAGGGAGATTGGTGGAACTGACTGCAGAGTCTCAGAACAGAAAAAATGGAGTGTCGTTGTCCCCCCTTTTCTGCGGGAGATGCGTTTCAAGACCCCAGTGGATGCCTGAACCCGTGGACAGTACAAGACTCTACACGTAATGGTATTTCCTCTGCCTACATACCTGTGAGAAAGCTTAATGTATAGATCAGGCACAGTAAGAGGTTCACAGAAACCAAGAATAAAATGGAACCATCGCCGTAATAGAAGTCATGCGAATGTCCCTCTCTCAAAGACCTTACTGCAGGGAATATTTTCAGACCACAGTTGACCATGGGTAACTAGAAACGTGTACAGAGAAATTACAGATAAAGGGGAGGCAGCTTTAGCAACGAAGACAACACTTTCAACTTAGGAAGCGATGGAATCACCTAGAAATGACGTGGCTGATGGTGGCCAGATGATTGAAGAACACCTGCGGCCCTCCCAAACACATTCCTGTCCTTGCTTCCCAGAAGAGGCCGCAGAAAGGGGCTCTGTCATTTTCCCCTAATGATCAGAACTGATGAAGTGATACAATATTAAGGAATGTGTCCATCGTTTTCTGCCATTTTGTTCTTTCTACTGCAAAGGCCATCAGGAAAGATATCTCTAGGAGACGATGAATAGATTCTGGGTTTGCCATTTGCATCATCCAAAGCATCTCTCAGCTGCCACTGACATTTAAAAACAAACTAAATAGAGCCCTACAAGAGTGGATGAGACACGGATGAAACAAACGAGGAAGAGTATTCAAGATGAATTCTTTTCGTGAAAAGCGCCCAAGGAAACCTGTCCCGACATGATGAATTTCCAAGCTATTTTGAGTGTCCTAACTAAGAAGAATTTTGGATAGCAAATTAGATGGTGTAAGAAGTTGAATGTGTTTTTAAATAATTCAGTGTACAACAATTTCTTGGCAAAAGTCACAAAGGACTTGTTTGTGTCTGATTCTAGTGATACGCCAGGGCCTTTGAGGCACATTTGGAACCAGTGATCTGTTGCCAGAGCTACACTTATTGATGTGAGAAACCAGGGACAGTGCTGGTCACCACAGGCAGGCGGGACATAATTTGGGTTAGAGAGAAAGGGATTTATTTAGGTGTGGCGAGAGGAAGGCATCAAGAGGTCAGTTTAACCGTTTTGCCTGTAGAACCAGGAGATGTTTGAGTTGTGGATTATAAAAGCAAAACTCGACAGATAACCAGACTCTGCCCGTTCTCTTGGAGGTAAAGATCTGCAAAGAAACAAAAACCCTATACTTAGCCACAGACAGAAATCACACGTGAAAGCAATCAACTGGACGGCGACGTCATGCTCACACAATGGCTTCCAGATCTCGCCTGGGTTTCTCTTTCCGTCTCCTGTCTTACTTTCCCAGGAGGATGCGTAAGCGTGCCATCACGGTGTTCGTGCAAAAATCATGCAAATTATTTTTTAAAAAACAAATCAGGTCAGGCACGGTGGCTCACACCTGTCATCCCAGCACTTTGAGAGGCAGAAGCAAGAGGGTTGTTTGAGCCCAGGGGTTTGAGACTAGCCTGGGCAACTTGGCGAGATCTCGTCTCTACAAGAAGTCAAGAAGTTAGCCAGGGTGGTGGTGCTTTTGAAGGCTGAGTGATACACCGAATTTTGTTTATCCATTCCTCTATGGATGGCGCACACTCCGCCTTTTGTAAACAAATGCATTGTAACTCCCCCTTTACTATCTGAAATAAAGTGACGGATGATATTTTTTCAAAATATTCAAAACTCTAAATATCATATAAAAGAACAATCAAAGGAAATAAATATTGAAACAACTAAATGTATTTCAGCCAATTATTGGCTACACTAGAAGATAAATGAAGTCATGAAATGCTTCCTCCTATGTGTAGGATTTCCATAAATGCAGCAATTAAAAATTAACATTGAGCTGGGTGCAGTGGCTCAAGCCTGTCATCCCAGCACTTTGGGAGGCAGAGGTGAGAAGATTTCCTAAGCTCAGGAGTTCAAGACCAGCCTGAGCAACATGGTGAGACCTCATCTCTACAATAAATTAAGAAAAAAATCAGTCTGGCGTGGTGGCAAATGCCTGTGGTTCCAGCTACTTGAAAGGCTGAAGTGGAAGGATCACCCGAGTCCAGCAGGTCAAAGCTGTGGTGGCTGCGAGGGTGCCATTGCACTCCAGCCTGGGTGACAAAGTGAGACTCCGACTCAAAAAAAAAAAAATGGGAGTATTAAGTTGAGTTAATTAAACTCAAATCCCCTGAAAGTTGTTCCCATTAGTGATAGGATTTTTGACCGACAAGCCTAGGTCATGTCATTACAATCAAAACAAAGAATAAGCCGGCCTCGGTGGCTTAGCCTGTAATCCCACGCCTTTGGGAGGCTGAGGTGAGTGAATTGCCTGAGCCCGCGGGTTCGAGACCCACCTGGGCAGCGAGACCTCATCTCTACAATACATCAAAAAATGAGCCGGGTGTGGTAGCACATGCCTGTAATTCCGGTTACTCAGAAGGCTGAGGCGGAAGGATCGCCGGAGCCCAGCAGGTCCAGGCTGCAGTGGCCGGGAGCAGCCACTGCACTCCAGTCTGGGCGACAGAGTGAGACTCCAACTAAAAAAAAACCAAAAAAACAAAAAAAACCCAAAGAATAATTGATAGGTTAGTTGTATTCCTGGGCAATTTAACACTGAAAATAATGTGTCGTGTTTATGTATTTTAAAAACAGCCAGGTTCTAGGCTCAGGTTATTATTAATGGAGTTTTCACCTATCGTGAGTCCCCTACATACAGATGAGTTCCATTCTAAGAGTGCATTCATAAATCCGGTTTTTCATAGTCCAACAAAGCTTTGATACCCCACTAACACAATCAGGTATGTATCGGGTTGACACATAAGATTGTAACATTTTTCACTTGCTCATGAAATGCGAATGTCCCACAATGGTTGACTGGCCACAGGTCATCAGGTTTGCGCCATCACATTGGCTGGCATGGATCCTCGTAGATTACAGCGTTTCGATGGTCTTCATCAAGGCCGATCGTCTTCCTGAATGTGGAGAATCACTCAGGTCAAAGTGGTCCTCCTTGAAACGACAATGCCGTCTTCTTGCCATGCTTTCTCCCAGGGCACGCTCCCCTCATGCGGCACAAACGTCTCGAGCCTCCACTGCCTTGACTCCTCTGTTAAACTCAAACAGAAGATGACAATGCAAGAAAGAAAGAAAATACACACAGGCCAAGTAGCTAAAAAAGAAAGGAAGGAAGGAAGAGAGGGAGGGAGGGAGGGAGGAAGGAAGACAAAGAAAGACAGACAGAAAGAAAGAAAGAAAGAAGGAAGGAAGGAAGGAAGGAAGGAAGGAAGGAAGGAAGGAAAGAAGGAAAGGAAGAAGGAAAGGAAGAAGGAAAGGAAGAAGGAAGGAAGGAAGGAAGGAAGGAAAGAAGGAAGGAAAGAAGGAAAGAAAGAAGGAAAGAAAGAAGGAAAGAAAGAAGGAAAGAAAGAAAGAAGAAGGAAAGAAAGAAGGAAAGAAAGAAAGAAGAAAGAAAGAAAGAAGGAAGGAAGGAAGGAAGGAAGGAAGGAAGGAAGGAAGGAAGAAAGGAAGGAAGAAAGGAAGAAAGAAAGAAAGAAAGAAAGAAAGAAAGAAAGAAAGAAAGAAAGAAAATATACACAGGCCAGGTGCGGTGACTCAGCCTGTCATTCCAACACTTTGGGAGGCCGGGGCAAGAGGATTGCCTGAACTCGCAGTTCGAGACCAGCCCGGGCAACTTATTGAGACTTCGTCTCTTCAATAAATCAAAAACGAACTGGACGTGGTAGCTCGCACCTGTAGTTCCGGCTACTTGGAAGGCTGAGGCAGAAGGATCGCCAGAATCCAGCAGGTCAACGCTGGGGTGGCCATGAGCATGCCACTGCACTCCCGCCTGGGTGGCAGAGGGAGACTCCAACACTCACACACAAAATACACACACTCCATGTTGTGATAATGGCCTCCGTGGGGCAGTGCCACATTCGCTGAGACCCCTGGACAGGAAGACCCAGGGGAGGCTGGAGCTGAACTTGGAACGTTTAGGAGTTAGTCGAGTACTTTGTAAGTGCTCAACAATGATTCGCTAAATGAATGAAAGAAGCCTGGTTTTTTTATTCCTATTCGTATTTGTTTCTTGAGACATGGTTGTAGTGTCTGCATTGAAAGTGGCTTTTACCATAAGTTGACCTGGGAGTCTGTGTCCATCAACCAGCATGTAAGACAGAGACCACCTGAAGGCTCCCTGGGGCCTCAGAAAGACAGATGTTGATGCCTGGCTCCATGGACCACTGCTTCCCAGTCTCCTGAGCTGAGACAAAATAACTGAGCGATGGCGTTCTGTAGCTACTCGTGACTGTGACATCCGAACATTCATGCTCTTCCTAGTTTGCGCCAAACAAATGCCCGTGTTCATTTAGCTAGTCCCAGACAGGACATTCGACGACATAGAAAAGCCAAGCGAACTCAGGTTATAAGCACAAAGCGAAGGGACGTGACGGGGAGATGACCTCCAGCGCATGTCCGTCTCTGAGCCACCTCCCTCCGTGACCTTGGACCCGCAGGTTTTTATGTCGTGCATGACGTGTCTATGGGACCCTGGGCAGGCGGGGCAGGTCTATGGTGGGGTTTGTTATTGGAAGAACAGTAGAATTACCAATGTATTGTGGCTTTTTTCCTTGACTAATGATTTGGTCACTGGGGGTGAGAAACAATCTGGTTTTTTCTTTCTTTTTTTGAAACAAAGTCACCCAGGCTGGAGTGCAGTAGCCGATCACAGCTCACCACAGCCTAGACCTCCTGGGCTCGGGGGATCCTCCCACCTCAGCCTCCCGAGTAGCTGGGATTACAGGTGCATGCCTCCACACTTGGCTGATTTTTTTTGTTATTGGTGGAGACTGGGTCTCTCTATGTTGCCCAGGCTGCTCCGAACTCCTGGGCTCAAGCGGCCCTCCTGCCTCGGCCTCCCAAAGGGCTGGGATTCCAGGCATGAGCCATGCACCGGGGCGGCTAGCGCACTTAGAAACGAAGTAGATGGGCTTCTCTGGGTTCACGTAATTACGCGGTCGGTTCTCTCTCTGCCGGTTTCTCGACAGGACATCGAGGAGACGATGAACACGGCCCTGAACGAGCTCCGGGAGCTGGAGAGACAGAGCACGGCCAGACACGCCCCCGATGTGGTGCTGGACACCCTGGACCAGGGGAAGGCCGCGCCCACGCCCGCCACGCCCACGGAGGCCCTGAGCCCCCTGCACGGCGCCGCTCTCCGGGGGTCCGAGCCCCCCATCCGCCGCAGCACCAGCTCCTCCAGTGACACCCTGAGCACCTTCAAGCCCCTGGTGGCGCCCAGGATGGGTGTGCAGCTCAAGCCCCCAGCCCTGAGGCCGAAGCCGGCTGTCCTCCCAAAAACAAACCCCACCATCGGGCCTGCCCCGCCTGCCCAGGGGCCCACGGACAAGTCGTGCACGATGTAAAAACCCGCAGGGCTGAGATCGCAGAGGGAGGCGGCTCAGAGACGGACGCGCAGCAGAGGTCCCACTCCGTCACGTCCCTTCGTTGTGTGCTTAGAACCTGCGCTCTCTTGGCTTTTCGGTGTCGTCGAATGTCCTGAGACTAGCTAAATGCACACGGGCATTTGTATTTTGTAATTTTTTTTTTAAACTGGACATAGCTCATGTCGTTTTAAAGACAATAGAAAACACTTAGACGTACTTGAAAACCCAGCGCTGCACCATTGTCACGAAGGCAACACCGCCCGCACCGTACCGTGCGTCACACGGAGGGTGGCCGGTGAGTGGGAGATGCGGTGGCCCGCGGGCAGGAGCCGGTCCTGGGTCTCACAGTGTGGGTCTGTGGCACTTGGGTGCTGGCCACATGGAAGGTGGCGACGGCATGGCACCTCCAACTCTGGGCACACGTGGTCCGCCCCATACTGAGACTTGGGGGTGTCACTGGGGACATTCTCCGGTGGCCCTGCCACAGCTCAGGTGGGCTGTATGCTTGTCTCCTTCAGCGCTGTTTCTGGGGGTCCAGGTTAAAGACTCCATGGAAGGGGGCAGAACCCCTGCAGCTCTTGCCTGAGCCGGCTGTGGGAACGAGGGGGATGCCTTCTCCGACGCGGCCAGGGCTCCTTCCCCGACCGCTCCTGGCACCCCCGCTGCAGTCACAGAGGCTAGAACAGTCCCGTGTGAAAGGCGCTCTGGTCACACCGCCCTTACAATTCTCCAAAGATCTGTCCGACAACTGCCTGGGAACATTCCCGTCTGCCCTCAAATCCCCCATCTCCTCGGTGGAGACGGAGCAAGCAAGGAGCACCGTGACCTTGGCGCTCAGTGTCCTCTCTGTCCCTTTACACATGTGCTCATGCCTGGAATCCCAGCTACTTGGGAGGCCGGGGCGGGAGCATCGCTTGGGCTCTGGAGTTCAAGTTCAACCCTGGCAACCTAGCGAGACTGTCTCAAAAAAATCCTAGAAAGGCCTGATGATCCTAAATCCATAATGCCCTTGTCTTTGAGCCAACCCAGAGATTGGCTATGATACTCCAGTAAGCGCCGACCAGGGCACCAGAAGATTCCCTCGTGATTCCAAACTTCGCCCAGCCTTGCACCTCAGAAGCAAGACTTTTTCCCCCCTTTCCTTCCCCGCCTTTCTTTTCTCTCTCTCTCTCTCTCCCTCTCCCCCTCTCTCCCTCCTTCCCTCCCTCTCTCCCTCTCCTATACTCAGCTGCCCTCTCCCTGGCATCCCAGCACACAGACAGCTTTTCTTTAGCCCATATTTATACTGCATTTTCCCTCTATCCTAAAACAATGTGCTTTGAATTGTTGTTTTCCTGACTGAACAAAACACCATTTTCTTTCAACAGCACCTGGTGTGATCGCTCTACCTGTGGGCATTTTATCTACTCTTGTCATTCAGTTTACAGATGAAGAGACATTTTTGTTTTTGTTTTTTTGAAGCGGCATCTCACTCTGTCTCCAGGCTGGAATGCAGTGGCAGGATCAAGGCTTGCCGCAGCCTCAACCTCCTGGGCTCAGGCGATCCTTCTGCCTCAGCCTCCCTAGTAGCTAGGACTACAGGCATGTGCCACCACGTCCAACTAATTTTTTTTCATAGCAACAAGGTCTTGCTATGTTGCCTAAGCTGGTCTCAAACTCCTAAACCCAAGCGATCCTCCTGCCTCCGCCTCCCAAAGTGCTGGGATTCCGGGTGTGAGCCACCATGCCCAGCTGAGACTTTTTTTATTTTTAAGAAAGATGAAATGCCACAGGACTAACTCCTCTGGGCCACCACAGATTTCCTTCTAGGTTTGGCTCCAAACTGGCAGCCAGTTGCATGCCCACCCAAGAGTTCCGCAGTGTGAACTTTAAATTCCTCAACCCATGGGTGGATGTGTCATGCAGAAACGAATCAGGATCTGTACAAAGGTCAAGGTTGTGACTTTGGTCTCTACCTCAGTTTACCCAGCTAATTGTTCTCATGCAGGAAGAGATGCCATTGATGAGATGCTGGGACCTTTCAAAGTCGTATGCTGGCGGCTGACCTGTGGCCTGACTTCACAAGTGAATTGAATAGTGATTTTTTTCCCCGGGTATTTTCAGGGTTGGGTGAACGTTCGAGTCTCTGAATTTTCTGACCCATCCTTTCTGCCCAGCTCAGCCCGTCACCCCGCCCTCCCCTTTCTCCTAGCACCTGTGCTCTCTCAACACTTGGGACACCTGAAGACCCAGCTGGGACTGAGCTTCGCGTAGAGCTGACCCTTCCAGACAGTCTTCCCAAGTTCCCTGGAAAGTTTAAACTTTCCCAAATGATCCTCCAGCTTGTTGAAACCATGGAGATTCTTTAAAACCATTTTCTTTCTTGGACAGAAGAGGAAGGTGGTGACAGAGGGCATCAGTCAGGCACGGTGGCTCACATCTGGAATCTCAACACTTTGGGAGGCTGAGGCAAGAGGATTGCTTGAGCCCAGGAGTTCGAGACCAGACGGGGCAACATAGTGAGACCTCGTCTCTACAAAAAATAAAAATAAAAAAATTAGCCAGGTGTGGTGGTGCACACCTGTAATCCCAGCTCCTTGGGAGACTGAGACAGAAGGATCCCCTGAGCCCAGGAGGTTGAGGCCGTGAGCCGTGATCATGCCATAGCACTCCAGCCTGGGCGACAGAGTGAGACTCTGACTCAGAAAAAAAGCAGAGGGCTTCCAAAGGGCAGAGGCATTTTGGATATAGTCCACGTCTTCGGCAACTCTGGCTCCCACGCCTGCACACACACTCCTTCAGGCTTCTCCCTGGCACCCCTAGAGTGGCCCCTGCCTTTCCCACCGAGGCCGAGCGAGGGTTGCCTCTCCGCCCGGCAGGACTCCGCGCCGGCCTGGCAGGGGTCAAGCTGCCATGGCCCCGCGGCACCTGCGCCTTCTTCAGGAGACAGCCTCTGCCCCTCACTCCCCGGCCGCACCTCCAGCGCCTCTCTCTGCTCCTGTTTCACCTGGGACTCTGTTCCCAAGTCCAAGTGAAGAGTGTGACCTCGGTGAGGAACCAGAGGGCACGACCTGTTGAGTCCTCAGAGTGCGGGGAAGACATGGCGGCCACGTCACACACAGCATCCAGCACTGCACCCAGGAGAGCCCACCGAAAGCCCCCGCGGCCGAGAAGCCTCACCTGGTGCCCACCTGCCTCCCGGCCATAGATGCAGCGCCCAGGGGTGGAGGCTTGGGGAAGGGCGAGGGAGAAGGCCAGGACCACGGGCCCGTGATGGTTCTCCAAAGATGACCTGATGCATCGACACGAGAATACGCATTCCCCGCCGGCCGCCTGTGTCCAAGTCCCGCCCACGGCACATGCAGAAAGGGTTGCCATGCCAGCTCTTGGGCTGGGCAGGGGCGTGTCGGCGTGGAGAGGGAGGTCACATGCAGGTGACTGTTAGGACCCCTGCTTCATCCGTCAGGTGGCGCTTCATAGCGCTCTTTCACCGTCAGCGCCAACACCGCCACTCCCACTCGACAGTTCTGCACATCTTCACACAACAGGTTGGCACTCCCGTGTCCCCCAAGCTGTCCACGGGGTCATTTACAGCAGGGTCCCTCTGCGTCCATGGCGGCAGTCCAGAACAGCGATGGCTACGGAGCGCCACGTGTCAAGTGGCATTGTTTCAGGATTCCGTTCGGGTAACCTTCACCATGCCCCAGACGGTTTCCCGCGAATTGAGAACAAGAGGAAGGGGGTGGGCTGGCAGTGCCGTCCTTGGCGTCCAGGAGTGACATGGCCTCTGGAGTCTGCAGAGGGAGGAGACTCTAATCTGGTTAGATTAGACGGCTTCGAGTTAAAGGGCCCTGGGCTTGGGAGATGTCAGATTTGGGATGACCCGTGTTCCCGGCTGTGGCAGTGAGACTTGTGCATGGGACTGGGACTCAGTCTTGCTTCCGATCCACAGAGGCTCCATGGGGATACAGAGCTCCTGACCTGCCCCGAGCCATGAACACGGCCTCCAGCTGGGCTGGAGGGTCCGGCTTGGGGCAGCGTGACTTTGGCAAAGCTTTGGCAGATTGGCCCGACAAACTGGAATGTGAGCTTTCACTTACCTGGCATACTTTCTTAAAGAAAACGTCTGTGGCATAATCGAGCCGGATACCTGTATCTTGAAATTGCGTAGGGAATTTTGTATGTTTCAAGAATTGTACTGGGTTCCATAATTGTCTTAGAAACCGTCTAGTAAAAGGAGATGTAGAAACCATGCGTCTGTGTCCCGCTGAGAGGCTTTCCCATTGCCGTGTGGTGGTGACCCCAGATGCTTCAAGGCAGCGAGTGGCTGGAACGGAGATGCCGCCCCCACCCATGGGCCAGGTCTGTCGTCCCCTCCTGGGGGTCTGATCGACTGCAGACCCGTACTCCCATGGGTCACTGTCGTCCGCTGTGTCAATGTACATCCCCGGTATGCACACATGCAAGTGCCTTTCAACTTCAGAGGCGAGTTCGCTTTGCTCCTGGACACTGTCCACCGCCCTGCCCCTCCTGCTGCCCACCTGAGTGTGCTGAAATGCCCCCTCCCCTCCCACGCTCACACAGCCCCCCACCCCCGCCTCCCTGGGTCTCGGTGCTCGGTGTCTCCTCTGTCTCCCTGTCGGTCGCCAGACCGTCTCGTCTTCCCGGTAGATGTGATTGTGCCTTCCTGGCCCCGTGTCCTCCCGAACCCCCCCGCCCACCCCAGCTCCCGTGGTGCTGATGCCACCATGGTCGCACGCTCTGTGCGGCCTCTCGCCATGACATCCCTCCTCTCTGAGCGGAGGCCGAGGGGACGTGTCCCCAGTTCCAGAAGAAACACGGATGTGCCGTCCCTCTGTCGGCTGACGCATATTTCCTTAGTCCTGTGCCCTGACAGCTTTATCGCCGGTCAGGTCTGTTTCTCACGGTGTGTCGTTGCAATAAATGCCATCGTCTGGCTGCCCAGGTCTGCGTCCCCCTGGCTGTGCGTCTTCGTGGGG